CAGCCTGGAAGCTGCTCTTAGTTATTCAGCAGGCCTGCTTCTGAGCAGCCTGGAAGCTGCTCTTAGTTATTCAGCAGGCCTGCTTCTGGGCAGCCTGGAAGCTGAGCCTCCTCTCACACTGCATGTTTCACTTCTCCCCGTCCCTCACCACTCTTCTTCCCCCCCCCCAGTCTCATTTGTAAATGCCAACCTGATAATCCCCCCACGTTGACCCCAAAGACCTCTCCCTCTCTGACCTCCTCCTCCTCGTCCACCCTGCCACCCCCCCCACACCCCGCTCTGCCCCTAGTCCCCCGCTAATGTGGAGAAGGCCCTGCGTCTCTTCAGCCAGCTGCTGCACAACAAGATGTTTCTCCTGACCTTCATCCACACACTCGAGGTGCAGCGCTCCTTTTCCATGCGTGACCGAGGCAACGTGGCCTCCCTCCTGATGGCGGCGCTACAGGAGCGCATGGAGTACGCCACCGTGGTGCTGAAGCAGCTGCTAGCCGACCTCATCGAGAAGAACCTAGAGAACCGCAACCACCCCAAACTGCTGCTCAGGAGGTGAGGGTCCCATTCGGCGTACCCGACCAGCCCTCCCCCGGTAACGGCTGACGGGCATCTCCCTCTCTGCTCTCCCTCAGGACCGAGTCTGTGGCTGAGAAGATGCTCACTAACTGGTTTACCTTTCTGCTCCACCGCTTCCTGAAGGTGGGTGCCACTCCTGACAGCTCGCCGTGGTACCCGTTACGCAGCGGTGGCATCGCGCTGGCGCGTCAAGGCGCCGGCTGGGAGCTCTGTGAAGTCCCCTCCAGCCGTGGCCCTCCGCTCTCCGTCCGCGTGCATTAAGTTGATGAATGCCGGCCCCTTTGTGTGCTCCTCCGGGCCTAAATGGCTATTGCCATGTATTTTGGATTCCATCCAGATATATTTATACTACATCAGTACACACGTGAAGGAGCTTTGGCTGCCAGTCAGACCAATTACTGTAAAATCTCTTCGTCGGCTTATTTAAACTCCGTCATACTTTCAGATTCGTTTCCATGAGATATGGAAACAGATGTCATTAGCTATCTTATGACTCAATACCAGTTAGGGTCCTTTATTTAATTATTTTTGTTCTAGTGCACCTGCTATATCATATTCTCTTTTTTGCCGTGCTGCTACATTTCTTATTCTAAAGTGTCAGTTTGGAGAAAAGAGGCAACAGGGTGTTTTGCTTCCAGGTTTAAAAGAATAGTCCTTTCAAGGAAATCCGCACTTCTGAATGTTGACCCCAGTGGTGAAAGAGGAAGGAAATCTCCACCTGGCCCCTGCACCATAAAGTATAAAAGAGTATAAAAGCAGAGGCGTGACTCAGTAGCAGGCGGCAGGCTACCAGCTCGTCACCCTGTGCTTTGTGTTCGGCGCCTGATGGCTAAGGGCCTCTCTGCTTATGGGGACTGTGAGTCAGGATGTCACGCTGTAATTAATAACGTCAAGTTAATCGTGCCTAAGAACTAAATCATAGTGTTTTATCAGTATCACTGTTTAGTCATCAGAAGCTTTTAAGTGGGTAATTGGTGACTTCTGAGCTCCTCAGAAATGCCGAAATGAAGAGTGATTGCCCGTGCGACCGCCCCCAGCTCGCGTGTGCACGCGCGCGCACACGCACACGCATACGCATACACATGCTGCCCTCTCCCTGCCAGGAGTGTGCTGGAGAGCCCCTCTTCATGCTGTACTGTGCCATCAAGCAGCAGATGGAGAAAGGCCCCATCGATGCCATCACAGGCGAGGCCCGTTACTCCCTGAGCGAGGACAAGCTCATCCGCCAGCAGATCGACTACAAGCAGCTGGTGAGTGTCCGTGGGCCCCTGGAGCCACTTCGCCCCCCTGGGCCGCCGCTCCCGCCACCCCACCGCTCTCCGTCTGCGGCCCCTCCTCTGTCTCGGCCGCCCGAGGTGTTCCAGATCCGCCATGGGAAAATCGGGCTGAGGAATTTAATTTATTATGGGCAGGCAAGGTCGCACAATATATTTTGCAGAAGTTAGGAGGGTTCTGGGCACAGCCCTGGGCTGAGTGAGGGGGGGGGGGCGTGGTGCCTTCCCAGCATGCTGTGTGAGCAGTGCGAAGGCGGGGTAGCCGGTGAGGTGGACTTTCAGGGAGGGGGAGGCTGGCCGGCCGGCCAGCATTCAAGTCACACGCGCGGACCTGCTGAGGGCTCCTGGTGATTCATTACAGAATAAAGCGATCTATTGTGTGGCCGTAAAGGCAAAGGCGCTTCTGCCGTCTAACGAGGCCGGCGCTGTCTCTGTGCCTGGAGACGCCAGTCACCCGATTAAGAGTTCATTCTGAGTCAGGCTCCATTGTCCAATCTGCACGTAGCAGTTTTGCAGATGGCAGGTTTGCGGGGCTTATGTGCTGGTACGCTTGGCGCCATTTGCGCTGCGGTGAACAAGACGCACGGCACGTTCGAAGCTGTCATCCCGCCAGCCAGCTGTCTGTACGGCACCGCTATGGTGGTGGGGGGGGGGGTTCGGGTTTATTCCCTTCAAGAAATCAATTGCACCGTGGTAAATGTCCTGGGATTTTCCTTTAAAGCGATGGGCGCCCCCAGAGGACCCATCAGTCTCATTAGCCCCCCAGGGACCACCAGGTCGGGGCCCTGCGGAGCACGCTGCTCTGATGCCTCTGCTTACTAATGTATTTCCTTTTTCACGCTCACTCACTCGTGTGTTTGAAGTGCCCTGAAACAAATTTCCCTGTATCCAGCTCTAATATGAACGCTGTGGCATCAAAGGTTGCGTCCTCTAGGTTTGCGGCAAATTGTAAATAAACCACACCGGCAATTAAAGCGGCAGGATGTGATTCAGACAGCGAGCTCATGGTGCACCTCCCGGCTTTCCGCAGAATCGGAGGTTGAAGAGCGGTCAGTCGACACTTTAAAGCCCCAATCGGAGCTTGACGCAAATTCTTTGAATTTCTGCTGCCCAGAACCGGTCTCTGTCATCCTAAATATAGCCTGTCCGCAGTTCCCTGAGAATTCCTTAATTTGCTGTGTAATTGGTTTTTAATCAGAAATGCTTCACTTGTTAAATATTTTTCTTTGCATGGCAGAGGGGAGGTAATTGACTTTACTAATGATCAGTGAGTGGCAGGGGTGCATGCGGCATGGCTTACTGTGCCAGCCACACGCCGGTTTAATCGCCCGATTAGCGGCAGGCGCACGCGCAGCCCCTCTGCGCAGTAAATATGGGCTGTCAGCATTGTGGGGACATGCGTGATGCCTAAATATATTAAGGAAAACGGGAACATTGAGGGTTAGAATGAAGCCCTGCTGCACGTTGTGTTATTACTCAGGGTGTCATTAAAGTATAATTAGTCTTCCTACCTTTGGG